TATGTTATTTATCAGACAGTAATACGATCATTTATACATATATCAAGATTAAAAAAAAAAAAAAAAGAGAACCCGCCTTTAGTTCTTAAAACATGTCTATTATACAATCGATGCTATCTACTCATCATCGAATATAAGTGAGTCAAAGAAAAATAAGTTCTTTCAAGCTTATACGTATTCAATAGACTTTTGTTGTTATATGCTAATAATCATGTTCACGTATAATCCATTGAAGTAATACGAATATCTTGAATAAACATACATATGCAATGTTTTTTATTCTTTTCTATGAATTAGTTGTTTATCATATGTAAAATTTAGTCCTATTAGACGTAAAAAAAAAAGACGATTACGTTAGATTTTTTTTCGTATTGCATTATATTACAATAACGATTCTTGTTTATCAATAAGACGAAAATGGGAGAACATTGAAATGCTATTATCTTATTCACTTACCATCGTTAGAAATTATACAATCATCTGTAGGCATGTCTATTAAATATAATCTGTTAGGTTTATATTGATATAAAAGAAAAAAAAGATATATTCTATTTGTTAAAGTTAATATTTATTCTTCGAAAAAAAAAATGTCAAGACTATATTGAACTATTGAAATTTGTTCTTTCATTATTGAACAAATGTAAGAAAATTGATCGATGATTGCCAATGTTGACAGGAGACCAAATGACAGTCGTGCAAAGACGATTCATCATATACGTAAGAGAACGAGGAAATAGATAGAATAAAGTGTCATGTCATAGCGACGCATACACATATATATACAAATATATATATAGATATCATTGCGAACTTTTGTCATCTCAAGCTATATGACCGGAGATGACATTGATGCCTTTGTTCCGTATATACAAAACGGAAACGACTGGAAGGATCTCTCCTCTGAGTTTTTTTTTTTGACTTACCGTTTGAGTTCTTACAACTTCCGTTGATGCTTCAAGAATATTATAGAGTGACATCGATTCATATAGATAAAGAACCAGAAGGTGTATGTGTGTGAGATTCTTTTTTATGCATTTGATATGTTCATCAAATTGTAATTACGAAAAGAAAAAGCTGATAATGATGATGAAGAGGAGGAGAAGGAAGAGGAGGAGGAGGAGGAGAAAAAGAAAAAGAAAAAGATAAAACCGATTTTCATCATTCATCAAAGGAATATAGAATTTGTATTCTCTTATTTGTCTTCATCAGATAGTCATTCTATTGAAGTTAAGTGCAAGTGACAATAACCTTCTTAAATTCAAGTATCAATTGACCATTGAATCATATACATATATATATACATACAACAATAAAAAAAGACCACATGTAACTTTATTTTTTTTCGTTTTCTTTTTTTTTTATTTTATATTCTTTCTTAAGATAATAACAAAACAAAACAAAATTAATCTAGTTGTTGTTATTGTTTAATTTTGTTTGTTAATCAAATTGAGAATATCTCGAAAAATTTTTAAAAGAAAAATCCGAGAACTTTGCCACCTGTATGTTTTCGTCGAGCTTCTTCGTGATCTAATATGCCATGTGATGTTGTTAATACGACATATCTATAAATAAAAACAAAAAAATATATAACTAAATATTAAAATAATTCAATGACTATACCCGAATTGACGTGATGGTAAAAGATTTTTTGTCCAATTTTCAATATCACGAATAGGACAATCAAAACGAGGACTAATAACACCACACTAAAAGAAATAAAAGAAATAGAAAAAATCAAATTAATTTTTTTTCTATTCATACTTTATTTAAACGACCATTTAAATTAACAACTATTTTACCACTACGATGATCATCGATTATTTCGAATTCACCAATATAACCTTTAAAAATATAAATTTTTATATACAAAAAAAAAAATTGTTCGAAGAATTATTTTTCCTTTACCATGTTTCATCATGACAGTAAGAAATTTAATAATTACTTTTGAACATGGTCGAATGATAACTTGACGTTTATGACGTTTTTCAGCATTATTTATCGATTTAAGAGCATCAGCAAGGACATTCATATGAACCATGTTGAGTGCTTTATTTGTGTATGTATGTTAAATACACGTAAATCTGAAAAAAAAAACAACAAGAAGTAATGGCATTAAAAAAAAAACGTATTCCATAACAAAAGTGTCTTTTATTTTCTTTCTAAAGACCAAGCGAAAAAAAAAACTATCCACTAGTAACAGCTTGTTGAGTCTTTCGTACGTGTTGACGAAGTGCTTCATTGAGTAAATCTGGTATTCGAGCTTCATTCTCGATAAATGCCTAAGAAAAAGAAATAAAATAAAATAGGTTTTTTTTTTTTTTATTATTTTTCTTAAATACTTGAATAAGATCATGAGGATTTGTATCGCTAAAATTATATTGAGCTACTTTGGAATCTGGATGTACAATTGCATAGAGTTGAAGAAGTGAAACAGCATCGTTTATTCTAAAAGAAAAATAAATTTATGAAATTTTCGAGATATTTATTTTGATAGAAAACATGAAATTAAGTATAATTCGAACATTTTTTTTTGCTATCAATGAATGATTACTAATGTTGAAGGCTAAATAAGTATAGGAAAGAAGTATGGAATAATGCATATTGATCAAGCAAAACTTTTTGATACAAAAAATTCATTAATATCTGCCGCAGAAGTTATGAAGTTTATTCTAGACTTAGAATACACTTGATTGGAATTTCTATGTTGTCTAGTTATAGACTAACATGCGTTCGCTGTACATGAAAACTGAAACAATTGAATGACGCCACCTTAATATTACTTCTAAGTTTCGTACATCGAAACAGTTTGATAACTTCATCCGAAGGTACTGACAAGATAAGTCTCCTAACTAATAAATCGTTATTGTGTCCACACAATCTCAGCTTTTTGTACAGAGCTTTGTAAATATCATTAAATTAATTTTGACCAGGTACTGTCTATATACAAAAAATGCTTTTGTCCAAACATCGAATACGCATGATTAACAGGGATATCTAGAACCTATTTTTAATTTTTCGTTGACATTCAAATGAATGATCAGTATGTACTCTTTAACTGCCACTTTGTCTAGATACACGTATCTATATGTCATCACAGATTAACAAACTCATATTTCTTTTGCTCGTAATATCATGTGGTTGTATGAATCTTCTCTTTTAATTAACACTCACATTCACACCCTATTGCGACCAAGATTTTATGAATAACTTGAGAATAGTTCAGAATCCTAACTTATGAGTAAGTGAATAGAGTAGTTTTTAAATGAATATCATAGTATCCTAAAGGAACATCAGGAAAATTTATCTTCGAATTTCGACTTCAAATTTTATGAAGAGACAATCTTTAACAAAAATAGTTTCTTGTGAATGTCTCAAATCTTATCATGCTTTCTTCTATAAGATAGAGCTATGGTGAATGCGTATCTTTTACATCGGTCATACAGAATGATAAATTCGAAGTTTTCATCTTAAGACAGAAGTAAATCGAAAGATCCAAAACTTTTACAAAAAAATTATTTTCATTAAGATCTATGTCGTTTAAGAGTTTTAAGTCGAAATTCAAAAATTTGTTTTCCTGAAGTTTCTTAAGGAGAACTATGACATACATTGAAAAGTTACTTTATCTATGTACAACAAGTTTTAACAAGAATTTTTTAACTATTCCGTATTTTCAATATATATTTCGGAAATCTTTTTTGAGAAAAAAACTAATTCCATAACTTACAGATTCCGTCTAATCATATCATTCATAAGTCGATCGATTTTTTTAAACCATACAAAATAAAAAGTCATTGGACCAAAATGTCTTGTTGATCGAAGTACATCATAAGAATTTGTTTGATCAATATGTTCATATGTTCTATGTGTCACCTACGACGAAAAAAAACTATTTTGTTAAGAATTAATTAATAAACTGTATAAATAATTTACACGTATATAATCTCCATCATCAGGTTCAAACTGAGTACATGCTCGATCGAGTATAAATTCATAATCTCCTCGTTCTAAAATTTTCTAAATAAATGAAACATAAGATTTCTAAGAAAATCTTTGCATAGTTGTTTTGTTTTTTTTATTACTTCTAAATGTTCATCTTCAAACATTTTTGGCATAATTAATTCTCTTCCAACTATAGGAAAATAAATTTGTCTCATTCGTCGTTTTTCATCTAATGTTGCTGTTCTTAATGTTCCATCAATATCTCGAGCGACAATAAGACGATCCTAATTTTCATAAGAAAAAGAAATTTTTTTTTTTTTTTGTTGATTTTCGATTATTTCAATCAACATACTCGTATTGGTATTCCAAGTGATATATCCATAAATAAATGTTTACTTGATGAAAAACCATTTAACATTTCATCTTTTTCAAGAATTTCAATATTTTCTTTAGCTTCAGGTAAAACAGGTGGCATTTGAAGTTTAGCTCGACCACGTTCTATTGTTTTTTCTTGTTCCTATATGAAATATAAATTGAAAAACAAAATATTAACGATGAAATTAGATATCAAATACATACATACTTCTTTGAGTTGTTTATCAGTTAAATATTTGTAAACAATACGATCAAGATTTTTATTATTACGTATACGAAATATTCGTGATAAATCAAAACCAGTTATATTTATTAATAAATCTTGAACATCTTTACGTATAAATATTTTGCCAGGATCAATTTCAGATTTATCTAAAGAAAACGAAATAGAATTTTAATTATAAAGTTTTTGATACATACTTTTACTGGTACTATTATATTGAATTCGATTGATTAAACATCGCACACATGTGCTTGGACGAATTAATGAACGAAACATTAGATTATGGTAAATGGTACATAATATTTTCGTTTGAATAAAATTAAATCTGAAGAAAAACTAAGAGATTACGACTTCCAATATTGCACAATTACAAATACAAATAAGAAACAACATTAGGTAAAATTGGAATACAAAAACAACAGTAATTAATTATTAAAATTTTTTTTTCTTTCCTAAAAAAATATTATTCGACTTTTTCATGTTGCTCGTTTATTGTATCTGACATTGATTGTTCTACTTGACTATTAGAATTTTGACTAGTTCTTAATATCTCATGATCAACAGGTATAATACTAGAATCTGTTTCACCTGTTGTACCAAATTCATTCATACGTGTACGATCTACTGGATAAATATAACGTTGATACAGATATATAAAAAATATTATATCTATAAACATTAAAAAAAATTTTTAGAATTTTCTTTTTTTTTTGGTTTCTTTTACCATCACGAAAACATCCAAGTCGATACATTGTTGGCATTTTAATAACAAAAGCAAATAAATCATCAATAAATGTATTTAATGCTTTATATGTCATCATACGCCATGGTAGATGTGATACAGATTTAAGTTTATAGTTAATAAATAATTGCGGTGTCATCATAATAAAACCTAGAAGAAACAAAAATGTTTTGTTTTTTTTTTTTTTTACTTTTCAACAAAATAGATTTTATATTTACCAAATGTTAATAAAAATCCATAAATTGTACTTAAACAAAATGAATACCAACTTTTTTGTTCATGATACATTAATAAATAACATGCATAACCAACAACTAATGGAAATAAAATCCATGATAAATATTTAAAAGCCATCTAAATCAAAATAAAAAATTTTCTTGTTTTCTTTTTTTTTTTTGAAAACTTGTTCGTATACTAACTCGATCATATTCCGATGTTGTTGTATCTTTATATGATTGTTTATAAACATATTTATATTTTGGTATTATACCAAACCATGTTTCATTTGGTAAACACTAAATGAAATAGACAAAAACAACAATAAATAATAATATAAATAAATAGAAAACATACTTGAAAATTAACAATTTTTGGTACTTTCCATAATTCAATAATTATACCAACAAAAACACTAATACGAACCATTGTATTTGTTTCATTATCAAATACATATAATAAGACAATAAAACTTTGAAATATACTTAAGAAGACACTTCGAACTGATAAACCTTCAAGAGATTTTCGTGTTCGCCAAAATTGAATATCTAAACAATAGAAAGTCAGTGAAAATCATGATTATTTCTCTTATGTGAAATAGAGAGTTCCTCCTTCATATTTTTATAGATCCGAATTCGAAAAAATCAGCAGCTATCTACTTCTAAGCTTAACGTTCGTTTTCTTTCTTCATGACTTACCATTTTTAAATGCTAATATTTCAAAAATTGTATGTATTAGTGAAACAATTATAGTCATTATAAGTAAATATGGATTTGTTTCAACAAGTGCACGCTATAGTAAGAAAAAGTATTTTTCATAAATGAATAATATTTTTTTTTAATTGTATACTTTAATTGTATCTTGATCTTCATCATTCTGTTCATCACCAAATAAATTTCCATACCATGATTGACGTGTATTTTGTGATATAAACATTTGCCATTTCCATAATTGTATTGGTGCAACAGTAATTGTTAAATTTAATTTACTAGAAAATAGATGAATTAAATTTTATTAATTAAACATATATATATATATAGAATATGATCTACTCGATTGTATTATTAATTGGATAATAATCAGCAAGAAGATTCCAATAATCATTTAAATAAAGAACTGGATAATATTGTCCAGTATACACATCAAAATTAACATCTAAATAATGATGTAGTCTTAATATATTCTTATAATAAATATTGAAACGAAATCTATAATCATATAGATGTATATTCGGCATATTTTTCTATATCCTTTGTTTCTCCTTGTTTGCACTACGTGCTAGTTATAGGTATTAACTGGCTACAAGGAAGTTTATTCCAATCTCTATTGACTCTTCTAAAAACTATCGAGAATTCCGGTGCCAGTAATCACATGCAATACGATTGTTAATTACAATCTTAGTTCTATTTCTTAACACGTTTGTTTCGATTTCAAGGAAGTTATTCGACACTTTTATTACTCGTTTATTACACTATGACCTCCAACGCCCCAAATTTAATTAAACTCAAGATTTGCCTGAATAAAAAAAAAAGTCAATCTTTCCATCAGGCATTTAATCATAATTATATTGAACTTTAAACGATTCTCTATTCAGCCCTTAATAACAAATCTTCGCTTTCTATGACAAAAAACATTAATTAATTTCTATTCATATTTGTTTCCTATTGAAATTTTTTTCTATAGATAGTAAAAAAAAAACATTCTTTGTAGATTTACATTTATCCAATGGTGGTGGTATACTGCCTTTCATCCATGATGATTGATCATCAAGTAAATTAATTGTCATATTTGAATGCCAATGTGATAAAAGTTCAATGACATTATCATCAGCTTTCTAAATAAAAATCTTTTTTTTTTTTTTTTATTAAAAATTAAATAGTTTAATATTAACCTTTTGATATTCTTCATTTTGTTGAGTATTACCCGTTAAAAGATTTTTTGTTTTTTTATAAACTTTTTTTCTATATTTATTTAAACGTTTACTTTTCCAAAATGTATATTGTGGTGAATGAGATTCACGTTGATTTGGATCAATAGAAAATCCATGTTTTGTTACAACAACATGTAAATAAATTGAACCATTATTTTTTACATTCTAAATAGCATTAGAATTAATAGTAAAATAAAAGAATAAAAGTATTGTTTATTCTATAAATCATACCTCTGAAATAGGAAACTCAATAAATTTAATATGTGTTCCTTCTGATGTCCAATCTCCATATTTAAAATGATTCAATATCCAAATAGGTTTTCTCATTCGATCATATCTATAAATTTGTTCTTCGTTAATAAATATATAAATATCCTAAATCAAAAGCAAATTTTCAAGCTTGAAAAAGTAATAGAAATCTTCTTACGAATAAATCACCAGTTGTATAAAGATTTTTAGACATATAAGCATTATTAGAAATTGATGGATTAATTGGTAATGTTCTATTTTCTATTGTATGAACTGTTGTTGGTCGATGAAAAAATCGTGTAACGAAATAAATCATTAATATTCGAAATAGAAAAGATTTGATTATTTCCCATGGTGATTGACGTCGTCGAATAGGAGGATTACGATTATTTGGTGTTGATCTTTGTTGAATATCATTTTGTTGAGATACTGATGAAATTGAATTTTCTTGGTGTTGTGAATTCTGCAAAAACAATAATTGAATTAGAAAATAAGAAAGATTGACACAAAGAAAATAAAACATACAGAATCTTGATCAACTGAGGATAGATTTTGATTTGTATTCGACATATTTTATTATTTAGAATTAATATATGCTATTTTATTTTTCAATATTAGACATATGGCAGCCATTCTATGATATGATTTGATATAGTTGGTTTTTCGACCTCCAAATATCATTTATAAAAAGATGAAGTTTTATATTTCAAAATTATTTGTTAAAATCAAATATTAATTTTAGATTATTTTGAAAAAATTTTTAAATTACTCGATATTCGATATTGATTGTAGCGCTTTTCCTATTGATTGGTTTTTTGAATGATAGTCATATACCAATTACAACAACGGAAGTATTTGAGTCTGAATCCATATACACCTTCACCTATTATTTTAAAATATCAATCAGAACTTGTCACTAAAATGTTGCTAAACCGTCTAATTCTAACATATTTCACATAAGAAATTGTCGCTTTTATCTTTGTTCCCTAATCAATGAATCATTGTCAAAACTTGTTACCAAACGAATGATTCTTCTGGCTGCATACTTTCTCAACAAGCAAAACTTTTTAAAGTTATTTTCTTTATCCCTGTCTTTCAGTGTGTATTTTGATATATCCTATGTCCCAAGTAAAATGAGTTTCTCAATACTTCAATTATAACTTTTAATTTCCTACAAAATGGTATATTTTTGTGGATTTAAATAAGATCCATGACACATCTCACTTTCAATATTTATAACATGACGATATCGAAGCTTGTGGACTAGAGTCCGTCTCTAACATGAAAATTATCTCTAAATGAAGATAAATTTTTGGAAAATTTCTTTATTTTCAAAATAGAGAAAAAGTCAGATTCTCTTTCTCAATCACACATTCGAAAAAAAACGAGAGCAATATTGATTCACTTAATACACAAAAACGTATAAATAAAAACCTAAAATTTATTAATCAGATATTAATAGAAGCTTTTTTGATCTTCGGCATCAAGAAATAAATCACCAAAGTTTTGTACGAAATTTATGTTCTACTAGCTACAATGAAAACTTTGTTTTATTCGAATTTTCCAAATGAAAAAATTGTGCTACAGTTATAAATTTTCCACCAACTCAAAACATGTCCTTGAACACGCGCTGATGCACACTCCGACAGATTCTGTACGTTTGATGAAAGTATATGCATTATGCCAATTAGTAGATCAAAATCTTTTTCGATTGATGCATTGAATTTAATTCGTCCCTGAGAAGTGCGTTAATTTGCAATTAACTATTCGACTAACGAAGTTTCTTAATTTAACTTCAGATTTTTTTAGTGAAGATAAGATCTTAGGCAATGAGAATAAATAGTAATTAGATACAATGAGCACTAAAATTATTTAACAAGGTTTATTTTCAAATAATTTTCTTTGCTAGTAACGTTATAAATAATTCAAACGTGATTCGAATAGAGAAAATAGTTTCCAAAAATCGTGTAAGAAAATAAAAATAATAATCAGATTTGCAAAAATAGACACACTAGAAAATCAAGGTCCTACGCTTTCAACACCTAGAACAGGTAAACTATAATTTTGTTTAGGCTCCATGAAACGATAGAGTGCACCATTCCCTACAAAATGACATATCACGAAGTTCTCTGCAATGTTTTTTGTCTGAAATACAGAAATTTAATTGAAGCTCAAAACATGATTTTTCTACTAGCCTTTTCGTTTTCTGGAGACCATTTCTCTATTCGAATCACTATTTGCCTTCTCTCTAGCACTAACGACACTAAATGAAATTGAAAATAAACCTTATTGAATAATTCTGGTACTCGTTGTATAATCAAAGTAAATGTGATGGTTCTTGTTTATGTCGGTGACTTGAGCAATTTTTAAAAATGTTCTTCACCTTAAGTTGTTGACAATGATTAAAGCAAATACCGACTTCTTCTTTCCTGTGTATTTTACTTTGGAAATAAATATTAGCAATATCCGAATGTTACTTTTAGTGTCTCCTCACATTGACATGAGTTAAATTTAAGAATATTATGAGTCACAATTGAAATATATAACTACTTGAAACATTCGTATTATTGATTTATCATAAGCCCAACACTCTCTATTATAGTCCAATTAAACATGGAAAAATTTTTCTCTCTAAATTTAAACGCAAAGTTATTGATTTGAATCTGAAAAAATTAATTTCATTATTTCGGTATTCAAAGCTTTCAAACTCTAAACAATTCTCCCTTTTTCTGAAGGTTTTTAAGTTTCCATAAGTAAAGTGACAGTATAAATTTCATTCCATAGAATATATATTTTGATTATATTTTTTTCTGAGAAATAGGGACTTTCAATAGCTTTTTCGTATCGATTAAATATTATCAACGCATTTTGTTTTTCATCATGGAGACACAAGAACATTGCATGATTCATAACTAGTTGAAAAAATGTTGTTTTTTTAAAGTATTTACTTAGCCTTATAGGGATTGAAGTGAACGCTTGTTCAAAAGAAGGAAAAGCTACACCACATGTTTGTTTTATACTTATGACATAAGAACATAATGAGTGGTGACAAGCACTAATGTTATTGTAAGTTAAATTTGTAGTCTAAAAACTACAACCGTTGATATACGATGCATATTCGTTGCTGATAACTTTTGAATTCCAATATTCGATAATATAGTAAAAGAAAAAATCCAGAGGAACTATTAAATTTTTTTTATTTATTGTGTTTAATGTGATTCTATGTGGTAAATCTTTGCCTAAAGTAATTAGTTCACTTTGTTTATAAAGCTTTATTTCTATTAGAAATTTTTTAAAAACACCCTCATGGCAACTTAGCTATTTAAAAGATGTCCCAAAATAAGTGTGGTTAAATTGTCAACAACATTTTCAATACTTTTTCGTGATGTAGAAGGCTCAAAATTTTTATCATTTATATATGTAATGAATCGTCATACTAGACTTTGGTAATATTTTGACTACGTAGACAATTGTGAGAGTATATAGAAATGCATTTATATCTCAAGTCTTTTTGTGATTTATTGACAAATTTAATCTAAAATCTCCACCGGTTACGAAAATAGAAAAAACTTTAAATGGTTTGTATTGAACTTGAATTGTCTTAAACCAATATCTAATATAGATTGTACAGTTCGTATCAGTATTATTTAATAAACCTATAAAAAATGATTAGACAGCAATACTAAATTTGCCGATGTATGAAGAATTAAAAAGTGTGTAGTATGTACTGAACGAAAAAGTTCGTAAAAAAGTGTTTGATACATCATTAACTAGTCATAGAAAGTATTCTTATGCACATTGAGTTTTATTAGGATTCATATTGGCGCTGAATTTCTCTTGTAAAGTTTCAATTAATAATACTACACAAATCACGTACAAAAATTTATGTATGTTTATTTTGTCCAGACTTTTCTGCATTAGATTTAGCTAGAGATTCAAAACTTTAGAAAATTAAAGATCTAAGTTAGGTATATACTTGACACTGTTTGTGAAAGATCGAACAGTAAATTTGAGAAAAAACAATATCTATAGAACTACCATTCATATAGTTTGAAAGTTTATTTTAGAAATTAAATACATAATATGTTCATATTGTGATGCTAGTTTTATTGCGATGTCTATGGTGTATATTAATTGAATAATAACAAGTCAAGTTATATTTTTCAATGATATCTAATTATTATTTTTCTATTAATTCTATCTAACTGATACATTAAATAAATACAAGCGTTGTTTCTTTTTTGAAATTTACCTAAAAATATTCATTTTATTTTTTAATTATTTAATAAAAAATAATCAAATTTATCTGAATAAACGAACATTCAAACATTTAATGAATTTATAAAATAATGTAGCCCTAAAGAGGGCTGTTGGGTTTTTGATTTTTTTTTATTTCTTATAATTTATTGACTTGATGCTGCATTAGCAACAGCTTTTTTAAGTTTCTTAACTGTACCAGTTGATGAGACTGGCATTGAATCAGTAGCAATAGCTGATTTTTTTGGTAATAATAATGAGTTAATGTTTGGTAAAACACCACCTTGAGCAATTGTTACATGATTCAAAAGACGATTAAGTTCTTCATCATTACGTACAGCTAATTGAAGATGACGTGGAATAATACGTGTTTTTTTATTATCACGAGCTGCATTTCCAGCTAATTCGAGAATTTCAGCACTTAAATACTATAAACGAAAACATAATTTTTCCGAAAATACAATAAAAAAAAAAAAAATTCAAAATCTTACTTCAAGTACAGCAGCCAAGTAGACTGGTGAACCACCAGCAATTCGTTCACTGTAAGTACCTTTACGTAAATGACGATGAATACGTGAAACTGGAAATTGAAGACCAGCACGCATTGATCGTGATTTACCTTTGCTTCGTGCTTTTCCACTTGTAGCAGCTAATACACTAGCATTTGTTTTACCTCGACCAGACATTATTATTGTATTTGAATTAATAAAAGAAATAGGCTATTGATAAACGTATAAAATAAACTTTACCTTGTCTTTTCTTTTTCTATATATAGACAGTATACATGTACACACAAATGAACCAATAGAATGTGAATAATCGTGTGTTTCTATTCGTTCATAAATATTGTCAGTAAACTGGTCTATATAAGTATACATAGTTGTCCATTTTTACTTTCATATATTCGATTGTTCTTCTTCAAAAAACACCGATTAATACAAAATTCAATATGCCTCCAAAAGCTCAAACACCATCAAAAGGTTCAAAAAAAGCTGTTACCAAAACTAGCAAAGGTTCAGCTGGACCTAAAGGTGAAAAAAAACAAAGACGTCGACGAAAGGAAACCTATTCAATCTATATCTACAAGGTTCTTAAACAAGTTCATCCAGATACTGGTATTTCATCGAAAGCTATGTCGATCATGTAAGTCATACTATTTTTTTTTTGTATGAATCATAAGTTTATATTGTTTCTTCTTTTATTTTTTTTGATAAATAGGAATTCATTCGTCAACGATATCTTCGAACGTATTGCTGCTGAAGCTTCACGTTTATCACACTACAATAAACGATCAACAATTTCATCACGCGAAATTCAAACAGCTGTTCGACTTTTGTTACCTGGTGAATTAGCTAAACATGCTGTTTCAGAAGGTACAAAAGCTGTTACAAAATATACAAGTGCCAAATAAATGGTGACTTGATCATGAGATGAATTAAATCACTCTCAATTGAAGAATCCTAAAACCCAACAGCCCTCTTTAGGGCTAATTATATATCATATATATTTAAAAAATATGGATTCGTCTTAAAAACTTTTTCTTGAATTTTGCTGTTCATAATTGATAAAATATTCAATAAATAAATATATACACATGAAAATTGATTGAGTTTTTTTTTTTATTCTTATCAGATATTGGCGCAAAAAAGAAATTTAATTTACAAAATGATTGGAAACAATTCTTTTTGAATATATTTTGTTATGGAATTATTCGAAAAATATGCTGACGGTTTTTAAATCAGTAGTTCTAAAGTTAACGTTTTCTATTAGATTCATATTACTAATCAGAACATTTTGAAAATGTTTTTCGCTGCAAATTTTTCGTCCTATTAAATAAGAAAACGATTGAAATATTGACTGTGTTCAATAGAATTGCGAGAACGACAAAGCTATTCCAGAAAAATTTCTATTCGTGATTTCTTTTTCTATAGAACAAGAGAAATGTCCGTAAATATTCATGACCGTTATTTAACCTGTGACCTCATTTATGTTCTTCTGTCCTCTGTCGATTATTGAAAGAGAAAGACAGACAGAGCGAGGAAATGTCATTGTTTTCAGAATTGACTTGAGTCATTCATTCTAAAAAGTATAAGTTAATATTTAATACCAAACACATGAGATTTGTTTTTTTAACTCAACATATTCTATTTGTGGTTAAAATAAGAGACTCAACGATTCAAGTTTAACTATTTTTTTGCGAATACTATGTTTTCTAAAAAAAACTCATATCGATTCAATTGAATTTATTTTATCAAAGTAGTCTCTTAATGAGATCGTATTTTTGAAATGCAACAAGACATTTATTTACGGTCTTTCATATCTTTGTTGTTTTTTTCTTCAACACTGACATTAAACTTTTATATGATCAAATAATCCTCAAAAGGACTCCATTGAATGATATCAATTTTATACTATATATTGTATTAGTTTTATTCACAAGTCAAGACAAAAGCTTTTAAAAAGTTCACATTATGATCATCTTTTCTTTTACTAAAAGATATAGGAATTTGCAATTTCAGTATTTTTTTTATAACTCGATGCCATCAACTTGAATTTAAAATGTAAAATGTGTTAGCCCTAAAGAGGGCTGTTGGGTTTTAAGTATTTTTTTCCTTTTTTGAGAGCGATGTTATTCATCTCATATTTTTTTAATCTTTCATCGTTAAATCATTTAAGCGCGTTCACCACGGATGCGGCGGGCCAATTGAATGTCCTTTGGCATGATGGTAACACGTTTAGCATGAATTGCACATAAGTTGGTGTCTTCGAAAAGACCAACTAAGTAGGACTAAATTAAGACGAAAAAAAAAAATGAATTTTTGACCCAAAAAAAAAGAATAGAAACATACTTCACAAGCTTCTTGTAAAGCCATGACGGCTGATGATTGAAAGCGGAGATCCGTTTTGAAGTCTTGTGCAATTTCACGAACCAATCGTTGAAATGGCAATTTTCGGATGAGTAATTCAGTCGATTTTTGATAACGACGAATTTCCCGAAGAGCTACGGTACCTGGACGAAAGCGATGAGGCTTTTTGATACCACCTGTAGCTGGTGCCGATTTTCGTGCAGCTTTAGTAGCTAATTGTTTTCGTGGAGCTTTACCACCAGTTGATTTACGTGCAGTTTGTTTTGTACGAGCCATTAGTTATGTTTTTTTTTTTCAAATAAACGTTTGAAAGAGTTGTAGATGTTTACGAGTTTGAATACAGAAGAAACGAAAGGAAACGAACGCTCTTTATAAATAGGACGATCACCTCTATGTTATTGGTCTATTAAGAAAATCCTTAACTAACCAATGAATATGATGAGTCTTTGTTTTCTTAATGAGCCAATCGATATATGTTTGTGTGAACAGTATATAAGTGTCGATTAGAATCGTTCTTTTCTTCACATTTCATCAAACCGTATTCTTCATTTTTATATTCAATAAATACATTAAACAATGTCCGGACGTGGTAAAGGTGGTAAAGGTCTTGGTAAAGGTGGTGCCAAACGCCATCGTAAAGTTTTACGTGATAACATCCAAGGTATGTTTATCTATTTAGTAACTTAATTTGATAAAAAAGAATTTTTTTTTGTATAGGTATCACAAAACCAGCTATTCGTCGTCTTGCTCGACGTGGTGGTGTTAAACGTATTTCTGGATTGATCTACGAAGAAGTTCGTGGTGTACTCAAAATCTTTCTTGAAAACGTTATTCGTGATGCTGTTACATATACAGAACATGCTAAACGCAAGACAGTCACAGCTATGGATGTTGTCTATGCACTCAAACGACAAGGTCGTACACTCTACGGTTTCGGTTCATAAGCGGTTTATTTACTGCTTGGCCGGATGAGATGAATAACATCACTCTCACATTAAAATTTAAAAAAAATCACTAAAACCCAACAGCCCTCTTTAGGGCTAAACATTTTTTCTTTTTTAAATTCAAATATATGGAATCGAATATAACACATGAATGCACTCTTTAATATATCAACATTAGATAATCTGATTTAGAGAGAAAATTTTTTCTAAATATATCAAAAGCGACTTGATATTTAGAATGACCTTGAAATAATCGTTGTTTTTTTCTTATTTAGCCAATAGGCGAGCATGTCATGTTATTTTAAATGTGTCGTAGTAAACTGAAAAGTTTTTTTTTTATTTAGTTAAGTGAAACATCGACATGCACATCAATAAAGAAAATAATAATAATAACGATAGTGACATTCATTGTTCGGAATAGACATGCTCTTTTATTGGTAATGAACAGGAATTCTATAATATGAAATCACTGTTGATCCCTACAATGTGTTCATTAACTTGAAATCAACATGTGATATTTGTTTATTGATTGTATTAAAGTATTTTAATGAAAATAGTTGAACATTTAACTAAAAGAAAAATTCTTGTTGATGCAAAATATAAAACATGTATGGATTTATAACATATTCATCAATAATAGATTTACCATATATTAATTCAGTATATGATTTCAAACAAAAAGATTAAACGTTGCTATTTATTGCGAAAATGAAGATGAGAAATATTAAGATATTTCGAAAAAAGTTGTTTATTCTATATGACAAAACATTCAAGATTCGATAATGTATGTTCTATGACTATGATGACGATTCATATGATTACTTTTTGGTATATAACTTCATTTTTTGATATATCTCTAGATAAAGAATAAAAAATAAACAAATAGTCCTTGACTTGAAGCAGCATAGATAACTTCGAATAATAATTTCTAATAAAATAATAGGCAAATGCAATGTTTTAAAAGACAATATGATTACATAATATTCCAAAGTATGAATTAGTTGCACACCATGAAAAACTTTATCACCAAAATAAAATCATAGAAAATTTATCCTATAATCAGATATTACCGACAGCATTGTATCTAGCTTTTTCCTCCTTTGGAAGGACCATTTAGAATTCTGAAAAGTAGAAAACGGATGCAAATCTATGTTTTTGTTTGTACCGGAATCTAGAATCTTCTGTATACATGGAAAAAAAAATGAGAGATCAACGTTTTAGCTATTTATTAGCTACTCGGAGAAAAAAAATCAACGTAGAGTTATTTCTTGTTCTTTTCTTCTCCATTATTGTTATGCTTAATGAATTAAAAGTTTTCGCTCAGTTGCAAAGAAGAGTATATGAACAAATAAAGGAAAGTGAGCAGTTAATTGATTAACAGGATTCGTCAAAACGACAGTAATACCAAAATCTTCTGCTACATAGAATACTCTTAGTTGTGTTTATGGAAATTCACTATCTGTACATATTCTTGTAGTCAGTCGTGTATGCATTCGATCTCAGTACTTTGTGTATTTTCTCACTGTAATATAATCTGTAATTTGTGACGTGTTATTCAAGAGTACGACAGGTTGCTAGAAACCTCACAGTAAATTCTGGAAACAAGCAATTTCGAAGATTGGCTTCCATCTTTTACTCGAGATAATTAAGAATAGTGAGCTAGTCTCCAGACCTTTGACAGGACAAGATTGACTCTAGATGAAATTGTTTATCATTCTTATGTTAACTTAAATCCTATTGTCGAAATTTGAGATAGCTTTGCATCACATTTAGGAAGTTCTTAGTGAGTTTTTTTCTCTTTTTACTTACTAAATAAACACATTGAAATTTATCCTTTTCTATTGCGATGATTTCGAGAACGTAGAGTCAGAAAATACACAGACAGACGATCTTGCACTATCCTATTCACGCATCGAAGAAGGTAAAAGTTGTCTGAACAGCATGAATTTGTAGGACATCTTTTTTTCTGCACGAAATTCTCATATTTGAAATCAACACTGATTATGATATTTCTCAAGGTCTGTACCTTTGTTACCCTATATATAGCAGGAGTCAAAAAGCTAATTGCAGTTTCAGCAAAACAGTGGATATGAATCGAATGAAAGTTTACATAAAGCGTCGTTCTAAATCTCATCCTCTATCTGCAAAGATATGATGCATGAAAATTAGCTATATATTTCGTGAAAGATGCACTTAGTTGATTGCGAAGATTACGATAATTTTTTTACGCTTGCTATTCACAAAACTGATTCTTGAATGGAGTAATAAATAAAGCAAAATTATTTATCGTTCAATATCATCAATTGTTGTACAGATTTCTTCAACAATAATAAATCTATAAAATACACTCAATGAATCAAGATTACGAAATATTTATTTAGGAAGTATTGATATAACATAAACTATTGCTGAACATGATCATTATGACATGGAAAAAAAAATATCTAAACTTGTTGTACGACATACAAAAAACATATTCAATTAAAAGAAATGATGTAATAGGACAATTATTTCCAACACGGTTTATCGTTGTGTACATTGTTTTAATTATATCAAGTATTTACATGACAACAATCTATGACACATGTTGATATTGAAAAATTTACAAATGTACAACCATTAGAAATGACTTGTATACAATTATTAACATTGAAAACGTTTTATACTGCAGACGGGATAATTTGTGTATAAATTTAACCAATTCTTCAAGGTCAAATAAATAAATTTCATATTTTTCGTTACTTAATAGGTTAGAAGAAAGTAAATATCATTCCTACGTATGATGTGTTCTTCAAAGACAATTTTACTATTATTTTATGTGTTTGTCTGAAGAATCGAATTTCTTCTTACAATAGATGATTTTACTCTTTGTGGAACTTATATTGTATATCTCGAAGAACAATATAATGAGTGTAATTTTAACTTGAGGTTTTACAGCTCTTCCAACCCTTATACCAAGAAGTGACAATGATTCAGGTATGTCTTCACAGCAACTAAAGATAACAGGCATTAGACTCCATTTCCAGAGTTCTTCAATGACCACATAGACGATGAACGATAGTTTGTGAGAAGCTTTTCACTTAACATATTTTGCAGTAGTATAATGAAGCTAAAGAGTAATGTGAGTAGTGGCGTAACCAGGAAATTTGGGGTGGTAGGGCTCAGCCCACCTCTCCCCTTTTGTTTTGAGTTTGCTCAATTCATAGAAATATGGCTTTTTGAAGAATAAATTGTATTCTTTTTGGATAAGTTTTGCAGGGACAGCTATTTAACATCATTTGAGAGGTTTTCTCGAAAAGCATGTTTTTCAGGAAAAATCAAAATGGAAGTTTATTGATATGAGACATGTATACAGAATTATTCCTTGTTATATCTTGTTTTTCCTTTACAGCAATAATGAGACCTAAATCTATTGTATAGAAATCTTTTCATCTGAAAACTGCCATAGTTTTCTCAAAGTTTAAGAATTGTGCGAAATTTTCAGGTTGTTAGAGAGATTCAAATGTATTGTTCCAATATTTCTTGATAAGGATCCAATATGTGTTATGAATCTCACTTATTGACTTCAGATTTCACTAATATGAAAGAATTGCATTTGGCGAAATAGAAAACAGTACGTTTTTCATGTATTTCAATAGACAACCTTTTTGCACAAGTTGAAATTATATTTATGCTCTTTTTTGAAAACATTGTACGATTAAAAAGTTGTTACACTATTCAGTATTTTCAAACGACATCGATCATCGTTTTTTTCATTGAAGTGTCTAGTGAAAGCAATTTCTGGTTAAATAACATTTTAATGCTTGATCTTTCTATTGATGTAAGACAGAACCCTGTCTAACCTGGAAGTTGAATCCAATTATTTAAGAATTACATACCATTCGTCGACCGCAAACTTTGTCGACATGTTTCGTCGACAACTCTTTTAGTCGATAATGTATTTCTTCTCTTCCTTACGAAATATTTTATTCGTTCAATGTAACAACTTGGGAATTGATTTTATCACCCTTAACAAAACCAAAAGTTTTTTTCGCATGCATGTAGACGCACATGACTACCTGAGAGTACTTCATCACCAAAATCATAATCACATTCACAGTTGCACCAGGGTCTACATCCATACCTGTTCGCGCACATGCATCTACTAGTGCACTAGACCTACGACAGTTTCAGCTAGTGAACTCAATTCAGATCCAAAATAATTGCTCAAGTCGTTCAGAGAAAATTTGATAATGAAACAGGTGTCCTAAGACCTTTGTTGGTTCCTCTTGACACCGGAGTGCTAGCAGCATCACCTGGAGTTTTAGAGAATCATCTGAGACACTGTAAGAATTACCTTGCATGCTGAGGGATTGACTGAGATTCTATGGGATTGGCTGTGATAATATAGACATTACGTTTGATGATAGACGGATCCGTAGCTATGTTGATAGCAACTTAGCTGACACTATCAGCATTCCAGTTAATGGCTATAGCATTCCAGGTGATCTCTAACATCGCAAATGATCCCTAGCATTCTGGAAAAGGCTTCTAGGATCAAGCGCGATCCCTTAGCATCTTAATTAACGCTTCTAATATAGCCAATGGAGCTGCTAGCATTTTCGTCTCATGACAGAACAACAAAAGGCTTCGAACACCTCTGTTTCACTACTGAATTTCCTCTAAACAAGTCGTGATGCGAGCTGAGCCATTACAACAGTCCAGATCAACTCGTTTTCCGTAACAGATCATCAGTTTAAAACTTTTTTCAAATTTTCGTACCTCTATGCTGCGCTCATGTTCACACTTACACCTATACCCACACTCACACCTGTACCTGCATGTACATTCTTGTTATTTTCTATTGTATCTACTTGGTTAAATAGAAAAAAGTAGGCTGGTGCTTCTTAACATTGGTGATGCTCTTCTTCATGAATGTTTGTCGACGACATATCCGTTGACAAAATTATTTCGACGAAATGTTGTCGACCAAAATTTGTCGATCAAATTTCTTGTCGACGAATGATATGATTACTGTTTCCACTAGCCTATTAGTTTGTTCGTTATTGAACAATGATACAGAATCGATAGCGCTGATTACATATATGATCTGAGTTTTTGTCTAAATCATTTTGATAAATAAGAAGACCAAATTTCTGAGAAAGTAGGTTTTAGGTGAATAAGCATGCTGTTTCTTGTTTTTTATCGGCTACTGGCCTTATACAATCTTCTAAGCGCTAGAAAACAATATTCAAATGAGTACTCAAGTTTTCTGTATCTAGCGATATAGAAGTTAAAATATCTCAATATGTGAAATAATTTATAGAATCAGATAACAAGTGAAAACTCTAATCAATCGATGTATGTGGCTCCTTCTGACGTTCTACCACTTTACCATATCATCTGTTTATCCTCTATCAGTTGTATGGACAGATTTAGTTTTTGATACTCTATTCAAAGATGTCCTTGAAGACGGAAAAGCCATCTGTTGATTTGAGGTAAAATCACGATTTTGTAAGGAGAAGTCGTATTTTTCAGGTCATCTTTTCACAGTTCTTGCAAGCTGTGCTTCATTCTATATATTTAACTGACATCATTAGTATTTCATTACCTAAGGAACACTTGATTACCTATTTTGGATAGTTTTTAAACATTACAGTATTTCTATTTATTTGTCGTCGAGACTTTTCACACCTGTACTCCCTACAGCGTCCGGGAGCCTAGTAAACTGTTTTTATTCCTTTTCAACCAGACACATACCATATTATAGAGTTCATGACATTGATCACAAATATCGTTTGAGTTTTAGTCGGACCCATTTTAACAAGTGAGGAGACGAAATATAAAACATTTTGACTTTAAACAAAAAGACAGCTGGCTCTATTTGTTTTTTTTAAGTCATTTCCGCATTCATATAGTGCTGTAAATCCTTGAAAAAATATTTAATATAATTAGATGATCGAGTGTCCTCTATCTAATAGAATACTGACAGTGACAGTTAAATATATAGATTGAAGCATAGTATGTGAGAACTGTAATAAGATAATCTCAAGCGTATGAGTTTTCACCACTAAATAGTACCTTTGCATGAAATCAGCAATTTTTTTTTTCCTTTCAGAACATATTTGAACGGAGCATAAAAATCTGGATCTGTTTGTATCACTATTAGAGGTTGACCAGATGAAACGACAAAGTGATAAAAGTTCAGAAGAAGTCGCACACATCAATTGACTAGGATTTTCGCTTATAAGTTGATTCTATGAGATGTTCCATATATTGAGATGTCTTAATTTTATGTGACTGAAAAATGATATAAAAATTGTTTAGGTAACCTGAATGGGGGCACAAGTGCGAAAAGTCTTGATGTTAAATCAAGATAGATAAGTATGCACATGTTATAGTCCATAAGAGACTTGTTATCGCCATGAGGTTTTTTAAAGTTGTTTGGCGAGAAAATGATTTTATCGACCTTCGTCCTTTCTAACAAGAAAAACCTTCGGACTTATGCCATGAATTGTTTGGTATTTCGGTTTATTGTTTTATTTGATTTTTTTTGTCAACTGATGAAGTTTTTACGATTTTTAAAAATTAATCAATTTAAATAAATTTCAGCAATAATAGATTTGATCAGCAGAACTCAATGAGTTACCTTCTTTTTTTTTGTATATCTTCCATTCAAAACAACGAATCAGGTTTAATTGTTCATCCTCTACGTATAGTTAATGATTGGACAAAAAAAAGCAAATATCCATTGATTTTGTTTTTGGAAGGAAGAAATGGAAAAAATTTGTGTCCCATAAATCGATACAATGTCGAATGATGATCCAACAATAATTTCCAAACAAGGTTATTTTCTATTATTCGGTTTTGTTTATAATTAATATGAAAAAAACTTATTTAGGATGGTTAAAAGTCAAATTAAATTCTCAAATTAAATGGCATCGTCGATATTGTATTATTGATTGGGACAAAGCTATTCTATTTATTGCATCTAAATTCGATGGACGTTATCAAGATCTGATTAAACTTTTACCAAGTATTTTTATTAATGAATGTGAATCTTCAAATGATAATACAATTGAAATTAAAACAGATAGTAGGAAATGAACTATGATAATAAAGAATATAGTGTTTTTCTTTGTATTTTAAGATGAAATACATCTATTACAAGGTGAATCAAAAAAAGAATATGAATGTTGGTTATTAGCATTGAAAAGAACTGCTTATAGTCGAATTGGTGGTGGTAAGTGGTAAAAATTTGAGAAAATCAATAAAACGTTCAAAAATTTAGAAATTTGTTTTTTTATCATTTTATTACATTAAAAATAATATCAAAATTATAGTCATTAAGGATATTTGAGAATATTCAACTATGCTTATTAAATATATTCGAAGCAAACAACACTAGAAACAAGAAAAATAATAGAATCATTATCGATAATTACTTCACCCTAGGTGAACTGTACACATATCATAGGTTATGATCACACCATAATTATATGAAGTAACACTTAATCTATCAAATTGACTTGTTCAAGTTTTCACTAAAAAATATTCTTAGCTAAAGTTTCGAGCTAAGAAAAAAAAATTGTTAGAATTATAATTTATTGGACATGAACAAAAAAAAGTGTTCCTCTTCAACGATTCAATCAATCAAAAAACCCAATCAGACTTATCAGAGTTACAAGAAAAGAAGTTACTGGAACTAAAACACTTGGTTCCACAGATCTCTATTTAGGATACCCTATTGGAATCAATACTTTGATTGCAGCAATTCATTTATACCTTATTATTAGTCTGTCTTACCATTAAAGACAAGGTTATCCAAAGTCTCTAATAGTTTCTATAATAACATTTATTTTTGATTATTATTTTACTAAACTGGAATAGATCGACTAAGTTAAAATCTTCATTAGAGAATGCTTCTAAAATTGTTTCTTTACTTTCCATCATTACATATCAGAAAATTATTTTTCATTTAGCTATCTTTGGTCAATCATTAGAAGATACATATAAATATTCTCTTGACAAAACAACTCTTGTACCTTTAATTGTTCGTCAATGTTGTGAATATCTACTTGAATATGGTTCAACATTTGTTGGTTTATTTCGGTAAAAATTCACAATAATAAGGTGATGGAAAAAAGTTTAACAATAATGCATTTTTGATTTTCTCTCTATAATATTAAGTGTCTAGATCAAATATAGATAGTGATTTTAATAGTTAATGAAGTTCTATTTTACCAAGATTTCAAAAACGAACTATAAAATCTTGGTAAAAGAAAAAAAACTGCATTGAATATGAAAATTATTATCTGAATTCTAGCCAGTGACTTAACATTATAGTAAAAAAGACAAATATATAATGTTGTTAAACTTTTTCTCATGACCTTACATTCTCAACAAGATGCATTATCTTGTTGTAATTAGAATACCTGGAAAACAATCTTCAATAAAGGAATTACGTGATATGTACGATCGTGGTTTATCAATTAAATTAAACAATTCATATTCACCAGCAACAATATCTTCATTATTGAAAATTTATCTACAATCCTTACCTGAACCAATAATTCCAGTAAAAAATTTTGATGAATTTTTTGAAATAGGTTCACGTTTTAAATATAATCAAACAAATGATATTGATCATTTAAAAAATTTAATAGAAAAAACATTATCAAGTGCAAATTATGCACTTTTAGCATACTTATGTTTATTTTTAAAAAAACTTACTGAACATGCTCAGGAAACAAAAATGGATACAGATAATTTAGCTGTAACTTTTGGAAATAATCTTATTCGAACATCGGAAGAACTTGATATTAATATGATTAAAGGACATAAGTAAAAGCTTTTATTTTAGTTTTTTTTTTTTCAAGTTTGAAAAAGTAATTTTCTTTTGAATGTTTCAGTTATAATCTACTACCATTAATTAAAGTATTTATTGATCATAGTGAATATCTTTTTCCAGTATGATGTTTTTGTTTTTTTGAAATACAATCTTCTTCTCTTAATTTTATTTTCATAAATTTAGACTAATTCAAATGAATCATGTGGACATTATAATGAATCAATTACAAAATCTAGTGGTTTTTCATCATTTTCGTCACTTTTATCATCCAATGAACAACCAATTAGGATTCATTCACGTTCATCATCAATGCCATCCATGCATTGTACAAGATTTTCATCATTTGATAGTTCGAATTTAAGTTATAGTGATCAATCAGATACTACTAATGTGCGTTATCGTTCAAAATCAATTCTAGAAAAAAAACCAATTGATACATCAGCACAATTAGATAGTCAACAATCATTTACAACATGTTTTGAAGTAGATTTTTCAACAGATCAAGAAGATGATGAAATAAGTGTTATAGAAAATCGAGTTTCTAATATTGATGTGATCAAAAATCAACAGAGAACTAAACAACAATCAACAATATTAGAACAAAAGCATAGATCAGGTACGAATATACTCAGTTGTTATCAAAAGTCAGAGTTGATGAAAGTTTTATAATTATTATTATTGATTAAATGAATTCATGTTACTATTTACTAAATAATCAAAATATTTCTTTTTGAATTTTATTCGAATTTCATCAAATAAAATATTCGTACACTATGGCCAATCAAACTCCGATAAGTCTTCTTCACTCTCCTAATCCTATAATACTGAAACCAAATTTTCGATGAGTTCTATCTGTCTTTTTATCACGATAGTAGTAGCGTAAGGTGTTGTTACGTTTTTCACTATTTATTTTCACCAAATTTTCTCTCTCTCTCTCTCTCTCTGGTCATCAATCAGTCAGTGGAAAACTCCGTAGGTCTACAAATTCTCTATTAGCATTATATAATCATAAAGCATTCGTCAAATATATCAACATTATTAATTAACAGTATACTAAATCAGTCTCTAGAGCTATATGCTTTCTGTTATCTTTTATATTTGTACGAAATATATGCTATAAATAGTAAGGAATACAAAGAAATCTATAATAAATTAAAATACTAAATAATTATTCGGATTATTTCGTTAAAATAATCTAGTATAAAAGTAAGGTAGACATCAACATTATAGTGTTTTCTAAAGAAAAAAAATTATAATAGCCATTTTTGCTGCACAATAATGTGCTCATATTCATAACGGCTCATCACAAATTGTTTATCTGACTGAATTTAATCGAGCTGAATAATCGTGATTCACTATTCCTCTGAAATATGTTGAATACTATTAACAGATAAATCTCCATAGAACGTCGAAGTATTCTTAAAAACCATTAAAAATCTTTCTTCTCTATCGATAGAACAAAAATTCGGCAATGTTACTTTTTTTTTCATCGAACCACAACAGTTAATTAGCATTTATCGTGAAAATTAAAGCATCAGCATAGATTCATTTTCTTTTACACTGTTCTCAGTATTTTATTCAATGTGAGAACCTAGCAGGTAGTACCCTTTTGAAATTATTGGCTCTTGCCGCACTTGTTGTGTATCTATGCTCTCAAAAATAGTTATTTTCACTGTTGGAGTTTTCAATCATTCCTTTGAAAGAAAAAATCTCAATAGAAATCTGACTACTCTTAATGTAACTCATTTTGCATTGATACTATTGAATGTTGAAAATCTCTAATTATATAAAGATATACATACAAAGAATAAGAATTTGATTCTAAAACCAATCTCATGTTTATGAGTTCAAACAGTGACTTTTATATTTTTGTCATTGCATCCTCTACAATTTAGATATACCCTCTCAACTTCTATCAACTAGCAATGCATCATCATCTATTCGTAAAATACCAAAAAGAACTTTTGCTAATAAAGTCGGCAAATCTTTATCAAATTTTAAATTCAATGTATCAAAAGCATTTAATCCACATTGTTCGTCATCTGAAACTATTCAACATTTAAATACAATGAATATATCATCTCATCGAACAACATATCAACATGATAAACGTAATATATTTGATTCAAGCTTATTAACTGATTGTTTAAAATCTTTACAAAATGAAAATCGTATATTAAAAGAATTAATGGATAAAAAAGAAACTGCATTTATTAACTTAACAAAAACATCTTATGAAGAACGTCTTAAATATGAAAAAGAAATTAGTCAATTAAAACAAACAATTGAACAATTAGAACTAGAAAATTCTCAATTAAAAGCTCGTTGTCCATGAAATAGTTATAACAATTTTTTCTATCTTTCACAACTATTTTTCTTGTGATATTTGTATATTGCGATATTTAACCATTCCTTTCATTCTGTGCAATTTATTAACATAACTTTTTCATTCTGTTTTTTTTTTTTTTAGATATAAAATTTTTTTCAAATTATGTCAATAACTGAAAATATTAAAGTTGATACAACTGATAATCAATCAGATGACACTTACGCAACACCAATTAGTCCATTATCACCAAAAGAAAAATCACCAATTTCAAATGAACAACAACAAAAAGAAAATTCGGTTAATGAAATGCAATCATTAATTCAATCATCAAATGATTTGACATTTCCATTAGAAGATTCATGGACATTTTGGTTTTTTAAAAATGATCGACAATGTGAATGGAAAGATAATTTAATTCAAATAACAACTGTATCAACAGTTGAAAATTTTTGGTCTGTTTATAATCATTTACAAGTTGCTAGTCGACTTGGTCAAGGTTGTGATTATCTTCTTTTCAAAACACATATTGTAAGTTTGGATGTTTTTACTAAATAATTTTCTTTAGTAGAAACTATGGCTTGAAAATATATATGCGTCAATTACTATTTATTTAGAAATATAATGTATTCCAATGTTTTTTGAATAAATTTTGAGAGGAACATCATAGAGACCTGTAGTTTTTAGTAGTCAAAAGAAGAAACTTGAGGGCATCAAACTAGCTATATCCCTCTCATTTATACCTGTTATAAAATTAATCCATAGAAAAAAATCTTCACTTTCGATCTATACAATAGCGACATTTCTAGCTTGTTCTATTCGAGAGTTCTTAGACTATTTCGAAGACTCTTGATTTCAGCCAATTGACCTGTAATCATCCGAAAAAAAAGCAGTTAGACAAAGATATTTTACCATACTGAGTCGAATGGTGATATTTGTTTTTAGGTTTAAAACAATCTGACTATAATTATCTTGACATTGATAAAATTCCAAAAATAATCTTCATATAACGAAAGAATCAACATTGAAAAAGTATAGAGATAGTAGTCTCAGATCAATTGGGTCGTCCTAAAAATAAATATCATCATTCGACTCAGTATGGTAAATTACTTCTGCCTAGTTGGATTTGCGGCTGAAGACAAGTCAGTTAGCTGAAATCAAAGGTTTTGAAAAAAAAACCTTAGAACTCTCGACTTGTACAAGCTAGAAAAATTGGCTTGGCATAAATCGAAAGGATAATAACTTCCGAATACGATTTTTGAATATCTTCACCAAGAATTTATTTGATTGTTCAAGTGCTGAACAATCGAATTTCAATATACTTCAATGACTTCGAGTGGTGAAAACCGTTTGTCTGCATAATATTCCTGTCAAAAGTTATTAAAAATACAGTGGAGAAAATTATATTTTGAAACGAATGGTAATGCCTGCTCTGCTTTTGACGACATGCTGTGCATCATGTAGACCTTAATGAACTTTAAATACCTTGAAAAGAGTTGAAGCTCTTCGCATAGTATTGCGAAGATATCTCATTTTTATAGTATTGTTAAATTTAAGAGTATTCCGTTTCCTTAGCAGAGTTTCAGAAGAACGGTTTATTAGAAAAATTTGAAGCTTCCAAGGCAGACAGATCTTGACATGTAAGGTGAAAGTTCTTGTAGATTCAAAGTCTTCAGCTGCTGTCTTCTATGAGATAGTGAGATCGCCATGATGAAAAATGGCCCCAATTTTCGTTCTTGTTCCTCCGACATTCTATGTTCCATTGATCTGAAAGCTTTTTCATGAGCACTAGACACTGTTCGGGTTGAGCATCTTCTTTTGTTCTTCGAATGAAAACACCTAAATATCGAACGTTTCCTAAAAAACGTACGTTTTTGTGAATAGAGTCTTTTTTGTAAGCGCTACCAAAAATCAGTAGAACAATTTTTTTGAAACAGAAAAGAAGCATCCATCACAAACAGTATATAGTATAAGTAAAAAAATGTTTCAACTCGATTGAACATACTAGACTGAAGAAATTATGGCATTTTTGCTTTCTTCTCGAAATTTTTAGCATTTAAAGACATTTTTGGATTCAATCTTGTACCCAATTGATAGATACTATTTCAGACTGTAGAATAGTCACAAAAAGGAAGACATACTCTTAATGCTATCGTTCCTTCATGAACACTAAAAAAAATGATTTTCAAATTTCGATCTGAAAAATAGTACAGAGGTAGACCTTAATGAAAATAGCTTATGCTGGAAGTCTGAACCTTGTGGGATTGTTTCTTTCTCAACATATGGCTATGGTAAAGCATATACTTTATATTGCTCATATACAATACACTAGCAGATTTGATGGTCGTATTTCAAGACAGAAATAAATCAAAATACCTGAAACTATCACAATAAATTATACTCTGTAAAGTCTGTTTATTTGTAAAGTTTCATGTCGACACTCGAAAATTAATTTTCCCTAGTATCTCTAAAGATGACCACAGAATCGAATTACAAATTACTATGAAGAAATAATATTGCCACCACAATAAGCTGAAGACTCGAGCATATTTCAGGGTGTTCATAGCTCATTAGAATCTATGATGATGTACATAATTCTGACTCGACAGTTGAAAGTGTTCCATTGTTAGATACTAAAACAACAAATAAGTGTCATCCATGCAACTAGAAAATTACGATTAACGATCACCGAATAAAAAGGAAAACAAAGTCGTTAATCTAACTACAATATATATTCATAGTTTGATTTCCGCAGTGTTCATGTCAATCATTATTTTTCATTATTTAGCAACCAATGTGGGAAGATCGATATAATCGTACCGGTGGTCGATGGTCTTTAAATTTAAATAAAAATCAACGAGCTACTGAACTTGATAAATATTGGCTTTTTACAGTTTGCTAAAAATGATTTATTTATTTGTATTCATTGATCTGTTGTTTTATTTAGTTACTTTCATTAATTGGTGATCAATATACAGATGATGCACAACATGTTAACGGTTGTGTTGTATCGATTCGAAGTAAAGGTGATCGAATAAGTTTATGGACAAAGGATTGGAGAAATGCTGAAATTACAAAACGAATTGGGTAAAGAAATTTCTATTGAAGTTTTCTTTTCTTTGTAAAAACAAAAAAAAAAATTTTGTTTATTAAATGTAGAAGTCGATTTCGTGAAGTAGCGGATATTCCTCGAAATTTACCATTGATTTTTGAAGTGAGTATAATATGATTAAATAAATATAATTACAAACAAAATAAATAAATAAATAAATCATTTAGAGTCATGAAGATCAAGAATCAAAACGTGGCGCAACATCAAAAATTCTTTTTCGAGCTTAAATGAGTATTAGTTCTCTATATTTCTTTTCTCTTGAATCGCCTTTATAATAATTTATCTTTTGTTTGTGGTCTTAAAATAAATAAGAAGGACTTTTTTCAAATCAATGAAATGGGGTTTTGGTTATCGTGTGTTTGTAGTGTTATTTGCTATTTCTTCATTATTTTCATCTAAGCCATTGGATCTGACTATTTGATTAATTAATGTTATCGTTCGACATTGTTAAGTTTTCTTTTTCTTTTTTCTTTTGTGTTTTATTTAACGTAATTCTTTTCAAAAAAAAAAAAAATATAGAAAGTGAATATAACTAGATCATTTGTACGAAAGGAAATTTCTTTTGTGCTATAGCAAAAAAAAAACCAAAGAAATAAATGTTTTCTGTTGTTTGTTATTTTCTCGTTGTTGTTATTAAAATAAACTAATAAAATAAATCGAGAAATCACAAAACAGTAAACAGGTACTATGTAATTTCTGTGAAATAATATGAAAAAAGTACTTATTTGTTCGTTCTATTTGTAACGGTTACTTTTCATTTTCAATCATGGAAAAAAAGCAAACGTGCAGATAAGGTCTTCTTTCTTTCTTTTTCAAACACGTATGTATATATATCACTCAAGGGCATAACAAGTACATATATCTGCTGTATACTGAATTAGAGTGCGTTGTTCTTGTTCGAAATACCAAATGCAGCTATAAAAGAGCATAAATTTTTATCGAAAGATTGACCGAATAATGAGGTAGGCGAATTTTAATTTATTTAGTAAAAATCTAAAATCAATAATAAGTGTTTGCTAGACGAATTAGATCTGAAAAGAAAATGATATGATAATTGAAGACAAACGTTAAAAGATCAATAATATTGAAAATGAAATGATGAAAATACATGTGTAAATGAAAGGACTTGGTCTATTGTCGTATGAAATGAGGTTTATTTTTCTTTAATAAGATTATTAGGATTGTATGAAAGATTTAGATCGAAGTTTTCTTTGTGTTAAACGTCTAACTTAAACGGAATGTAAATCAGCATGATATACCAATATTGATTAAAATAACATTTGTATGCAAAGGTTATTGTTGCATCAATTATGTGTGACAGGTGGCCTAGATTAAAGAGTACTAAATCATTTTCTTTTTCTTCAGGGGGCACTTGGATACAATATTAGAGATTCGTTCAATACACGTTCTATAGAAATTTTTTCGTTCTACAAAAAACGGCGATACTTCGTTTTTCAAGTCACTTTTTTTCCGAAGATGTCAAATTTAGAAGATTAACAAATACTCAATCGTCTAACTGCGATTTTCCACATTCTCAGAACATCGATTAGTCTATGTAAACATTTGCTTATCAAGATCGATCCTAAAGTAGAGTACGTAGCATCAATGATTAAAGAATTTTGTTCTGTCTTCTTCCACGACCAATTATCACGTTTTCGAAACGTACAGTTGTTGTATGATGAGTTCATTCTCTTATCGTTGGATGTAGAATTTTATTCTAAACAAAAAAGGTGTAACTGTTAAAACGAATAGTAAGATTTAAAAAAAGACCGATCACATAATTCTATCAGAAAAGAACTCTTTGAATACTTTCACATTTTTATCTAAAGACCTTTACATCTTTTGGAAACGAAAAATTCTCTATCAAATGAGTCTAGAACGAATTTCTCACTTTGAG